GGTTCCATCGGGCTGGCGGACGGGCGGGCACTAGGACCGGGAGGGCGGGCGGAATGGCGAGCACTAGGACCCGGGCGCGAGGGAGAGCGAGCACTAGGACCCAGCGGGCGGATGGGCACTAGGACACGGCCGAAGAGCCAGGACAGAAAGCTGCGGAGGTCGCCGTGTGTAGGATGCCCAGCAGCAGCTTTCTGTTCTTGCTCATTACGTGTGGGAGCAAGGGCTTCCATCGTGGTACCTGTCTGCTCTGTGCTTGTTTCTGCCTCCTTATAAATGGTGACACTCACATGAAGTGCTCTGAAACCCCAAATCGGGATCAGATACAGCTCATGTTATTGATGCATGCTTAAGCAAGGCATAGTCTAAAGAATATACAGACTATTTAAAGGAGGGGTAGACCAAAAGGGGGTTTGGGGCCAGCAAGTCAGTGCTGTTAGCAACAACCATAGGCACTGTTGTGTCATTGCTTTAGACTCCTCCATGTTTCAGTGCAAGGAACAGGGATCACTTAGCAAAGCAAAAAGCATCTATTAACCAAGTCACACCATGCATTGGTCATTCCCTGGTGCTAATGCAAGCATCGTTCACAGTAACAATAGGTACCCACACCACAGCCAAACCCTGCTGCAAGAAGGGCACCATCACAGCACAAACTCATCATTCAGAGGTTTAAGACCGCCAGGAAAGAGCCAGCTTTCTTCGGGATAATGTGCCCGGGGCTGGAGAAGAGCTGCCTGGAGCAGATCCGGGACCATCCCCACAGCCTCATGCTCTAGAGCTTTGAGATGCTGCATGAGTGGAGCTGGCATCACAAGGCCCAGGCCACGGCCCCCTGGCTCCCCGCCTGCCTGCACCCCACCAGCGTGGACCCCGACATGTTTGACCTGCTCCAGGTGTGAGGAATGAGCACCCCCCTTTCCTGGGTGGAGTCACCCCCAAAACAGAGCAGTAAATAGTTTTATTCCACCCATCCCAGTGCGTTTTGGAGTGTCTTTAACCCAGATCGGAGGTGGGATGAAGGAGAAGGGGGATGTGGTCTCTGCTCCTGTTCCTCAGGGATGGAGGGGTCTGGGGGAGGGCTCACAGGTCCCATCCCAACCTCTCGATCTCATCCAGGAAGAAGTCCAGGTCCGCCCTGGTGACTGCAGGGCTCGTGACGATCTGGCGGAAGAAGTTGACACGGGTGCCGTGGGGCTGGTACCCCACCATCATGGAGCCCTTCCTCATCATCCTCTCCTTGATGGCAGGGGCCACCTGTGGGGGGAGACACACACAGGACATGGGTTGTTGGGGAGGGTGTTGGGGATTCCTTCCCCACCCCCCCACAAGGATCCCTGTGGATCTGGCTCCTACCTTGCCCAGGCTGGGCCAGTAATTGGGGCAGCTCTCGCGGCCCCGCAGGCTGGGGGGCACGAACCAGAAGCAGAGATTGATGAACTCCGGCTGCAGGGGGGGAAGAGGAACAGGGAAGAG